CCCTTCCAACAATGGGATACTTGCCAACCCTGCAACCCATCTATTTGACTTCTAGACAGCAGTGTTCAGACACATCCACCCTCTACAACTAGAGGGCCTGGCACTGTCATGAGCCAGAAAGCATATCAAGTTAGTAATCAGCTAACTTGAGTTATACCTCATTTTTGAGCCACTGCCCTCCAGGCCTCTGAAGGCTACTACCCCTTTGAGAATGGAATTGTGTTAAATCACCTACTGATCTGTAGCCACAGTTCTGGCCAAACTCCTGCCTGTGGGGATACACGTTTCGACAAGTTACTTGGGAATTTCCGGGATATGGGTACTTCTCCCTGACTTAACTTCTTTCTACATGGGAATATGGCAGCCTCTGACTGAGCAGAAAAACCAGTTTGTGAAACATTTACCCAGGTAATCTATTCAAAAGGAGGTGGCTCTCCAGAACTTCTAGGGCAGGTCTAGACAAAGAGTGTGGCCACGTGCAATAGGATGAATAAAATCCTTAAGATGCAAAGCTAATATCCCAGAATATTGCTCTGAAGCCTGTGAAAACATGGTCACCCACCGACTGACTGATTTGCTTCATTTTTCATCTTTTTTCACATATTTCTTTCAGACTGATGCTTTCGTTAGGGTATTGTTATTGAATGTTGAATTCTACTTCAATTGTTATTGAAGTAGAGCTTCACCCATGAATTGCAGCTAATTTTAAAAATCAGTTGTCCTGAGTCATAAAACCATTTTTCTTGCTTGCTTCATGAGGGATTATGTAGCAAAGAAAGCCATCTCTTTTAAAAGTGCAATTTTTGTAGAATTTGGACTTTAGAGACCATTCTCTTACAATCTCTTTATTGTAAAGACAAGAAAATGCCCAGTTAAGTGATTAATTGGGTTAAGTGATTGCCCAAATTCACAGAGTTTGTTAGTGGCAAAGTGAGAATGTTCTGCAAAGACTTCACCTCATAATGCATAATATTTCACTTTATTTACTAGACTGCCACTCTTTCACAGGCAACTGCTTTATTTATTTGTTTGTTTTGAGTTACCATTGGAGGGGTAGAAAATAGTTGGATCAGACATAAAAAGGGAAGGAAAAAAGTTGAAGAGAAGTCTGGAGAAAGAAAGAAATAGGAAATTAAATAGGCTCAGTATGAGAAAGGTACAGTACAACCAAGAATTGCCCAGGTGCCACACAGAAGACGAAGGGGTCAGGCCCTCTGCTGGGCGGAGTAGTTCTGTTAGCACTGACTGTAACGCCAGGGGAGATTTCAGAGCAAGCAATCCTGAGTGCTTGTGAATCCCAGGCCCCTGTTCAAGGCTAACACACTTATTCCTGGGCTGCTGGCAATATTGGTATTGGTTCCTGACAACCCACATCTGTGTCAATCAGTGGGCATGGCTCAGTGAGCTGCTTTGCCCATGACTATACCTCTTCCCAGGAATGCAAGATATGGAGATACACGGGCCCAGTCTCCCGGGACTGCCGGCCCAGATGTAACCGTATTGAGGGTCAGCTTCTCCTTCTGCCCAATCCTGCCAGTCTTACCTCCTTACAGGTGTATCTTTTTAACCACTCACCAATAAACTGTCTTCATGCAAGGCATGTTTCTGAGTAACTCAATCTATTCTGAGATACTACCCCAATTCACACTTTGTGTGTATCACTCAAAATTGGGACTAAAGCCCAGGTTTCCTATATCATCGTCATGTTAACCAAAACCATTCTCAACCACTATACCCCTTTCTATGGCTAAACCTCTTTTTATACACAGCTTGACATAACCCAGCCCCCTACCAGAGGTGGACCCCCAAGATGTGGGACACTGACCATCAGTGTGTCACACAGATGATTTTGATAGTACTTGGCTGGGCTGATTTTTACTTTAACAGTTGTTGTCTCAGCTTGGAACTCCCCAGGATCAGACCCTGAGATAAGGACTCAAGTGAAAACGATTTATTAGCATCCAGGCCAGCTTCACTGATGTACGATCTATAGAGTCACACACATACACACCTGTGTGGTCACATGGCCCAGTATTTGCTTTAATACTCTTGAAATTCTTAGTAATTTATGAACTTTTAAAAATCTTTCACTGGACCTTGCAAATCACATAGTTGATCCTTATTAGGATGTGTTCCTGGGAAACACTGATAGGGTACTGGGGAATGGGACCCGGAAAGATAAGAAAGGCAAGAAAGAATGGGTAGAGGGGATCAAACATACAGTGACCAAAGGACATTTGGTGGTGAGCACACTATAGTGAACCAAATTATTGAATTATACTTTGTTTTCCATGAAACTTAGATGTCGTGAACCAATCTTACCTTGATATATAATAATAATAAAAGAATGTCATGTCAGGCAAGGTTCCAAAGGGAACGAGAGACAATTCAGCCCAATCGCGTAGGGAGCTCTGTAGACAGTGGAGATCCAACCTAGAGTTGTTCCAGCTTGGGGCAAAGGAACTGGAGTATTTATACTTCCATGCTCCTTAGTCGTTGGAAAAAGGCTGGGCCAGGGGCACAGTCACATTACTTCCTAGCCACTTTTAGCTGTGCCATGTGCCGGCAAAGCAAATCCTGCAAGCAGCAGGTGGTGCTCTGCCAAGGAGATTCAGCTCCAGTGATGAGAATGAAAGCGCACCTAAAACCAGGATGTACAAAATTCTACAAGGATCGAAGGGGCTACGGTGGAGCACTGACAGTAATCGCTGGAGTCAAAACATATACTTCAAAGTGATCTAGGACAAGAGAGAGATGTTTGCCTATCAAACCCAAGATTTTATGAGTGAAATTACTAATAGCAAGGGTAATAAATGTAAGAAATTAACAAAAGTCAGTCAATCAAAAACCTAAATTAAAAATCATATGATATGAAGATGAAATATGAACGACTGAAGTTTGGACACATCAGCAGAGTAGAAAGAACACTGGACCCACTGAACACCTGCCCAGGGCTGTGGGTAGAAGCACAAAGTTCCGTGGGTTTGAATTCTGGCTTTGCCACTTGTGGACTGCATGGCTCATTTCCCGATGTCTACCTGTTAGGGTTGTTAGGAGGATGAACAGTTGACATATGTATTTAAAGCAACGTCTGCCATGTAAATGTTAGCTTTCATTATTCCTGCCTAGCTACTGACTAGATCTGTACTTCTCAAGCTGTCTGTGGTATTTCATTTTCAATCTGTTGCAAACTGACGCTTTTATACAACATGATAGATACAAAATGGGTAATAAGAAAATGAAATAAAAAACACACAAAATACAAGGCCATATTTTTAGTTATTAAATTCAACAGGCAGAAAATTACTCAAATAGCTATAAAAGTTTCTACACACTCAACTTCTGCGCTTAATCTATTACAGACAGATGACAGATCCCAGACCATCACTGTTCTATGGGCCACACTTTGAATAGCACTAAATTAGAGTAAACCTTCAATAAGCCACTTCAGTTTTTGATGCCTCAGTTTTTAGGTCTTTGCACAAGATGAATGAGATTATGTACATGAAAACATTTATTGAGCTATAAAGTGCCCTAGAAATGGAAACTACTGGTAGGACTGTAGGAGTTGATTCTATAGTCTGTAGCCAAAAGATAGAAACTCCAGCGTATGGCAGTCTCAGGGCCTGTTGGCATCATGCTGTTCTGTATATATATAGGGTGTATCCTTGGAACTGTCAGTATCTGCAAACCAGTCCAGCATTTTCTCTCACTGTACAAAGCAGGAAATAAAGGGCTCCCCTGGCAGGCTGTGGCTTGCACCCCAACAACTACTGCCATCCACAGGTTGCTACAACCACACTCCAAGCATCTAAGCATCAACTTCCTTTCCCTGCAGCATCCCTTCTGCAGACTGGTCAAATGATTTTGCCCAGAGTGATATTTGAGTAGCTATCAAGAAGAAAGTAAGAGTGAAGATAATGTCTTTACTGTGTTACTTGGCTCCTAGGTTCTGCTGGCCCCGCTTCCCTTTAGTTGGTGAAACTCAATTCACAGACATCCCTCACCACTGCTCTTAGACTCCATTTCAAGTATGGACTCTTCCCACACTGGTTCTAAGTGACCTACTTTGGCCTCACCTCTTTTATCTCCACCCTGTCAAACAAGAAAGCAAATGTTTAGGGATATGTGGGAAGTCGGAGAAGTGGTAAGATTTCTGGATATGCATCTTTTTTGCTTTCTGGACTTTTTAAGGTTGGGACCCTTGTCTGATTCATCTTGGTTTCTCCTCCATTACCTTTAATGCAATGTGTGTGGCACATAGCAGGTGCTCAATGAATGTTCATTGAAGAGCTTTATGTACAAAGAGTTTGAAGTCCTGGAAACAGAAGTGGCTCTTCATACTACCGCATCCCGAATCCATCCGGGGGAGAAAAAAAAAACCCAAAAAACAATTAATTCATTTCGCAGAACTCTGTCAGGTATTAGGCATTCGGAAAAAAATTTCATGGGGGAAAGTTGGGGGTAAAGTTCATAAGGGGTAAATGTACTTCAAATACAACAATCCCTAGTTATATCTCCACTTTCTGGGAAACAAAATCACTCTGTGGCCCCAGGGCCCTTTAAATTTTACTGTGACTGTTTTCTTAAGAAATTCCTGGAGCGGAGCCTAACTTTGGTGTAGGGGGTTGGCAGCGCGCATATTCGCGGCCCAAAGGGACTGTTGGCATCAGGGTTGACGAGGCGTTCGCACGGGAAGGAACCTTCTGAGGAGTCAGAGCAGCCCCCTGGAACATCGTGAAGTGGGGGTCCCCGAGACTACTTGAACTCCAGGGCCTCAGCAAATTCGGAGAGGGAAAAATAGGAATGGCCAAGGCGGACAGACGTTTGAGGAGTTTCACTGCTTCCGACTCCCCCACTCTGCTTGCCGGGACACTGCCAGTGATCTGCGGCCGAGCCGGGAACAGCCGGGTGTCGGGGGCAGAGGGAGGGCCGGGGCCGCAGGAAGGAGTCAGGGCCGCTGCCCCGCCCGTCGGGCTGTCCGCCCCGCCTACCTCCAGCGAGGCGGAGCCGACGACGCGGGAGCTGGGGAGGAGGAGGTGGAGGAGGAGGAGAGTTCGGAGCCGTCTCCAGGATCCCTTAGAGACCGAGTGCCCGGCGGCAGCGGCGGGGCAGCGCATCGGCAGACGCGTGAGCACCAGGCGGAAGACTCAGGTGGTGAGTCGGCTGCCCGCGGAGACTCGGGCACAGCGCGGGGCACAGCGCGGGCGCAGCGCTGGGCGTCGGCCGGCCAGTTCGGGGCAGCCTCCGAGTTCCCGGTGCGAGGAAGCGAGATGGAGGGAGGGAACGGAGAAAGGAAGGAAGGAAGGAGAGAAGAGTGTCCCGGAGGGCGGGGACTGGTCGGGGCACTGGGCGCCGGAGAAGGGGATAGGGGAGGGAGGGCGAGGGACGCTGCGACCCGGCACCGACCCGGCACCGAGGGCGCCTGCATCGACGGGCGGCAGCCGCAGGCTACGGGAAGCCGGGGGCCCTTCAGGGCTCCCGCCGGGGAACGGCCACCATCCCAGGGGCCGGGAGCCGGGGTAAAGGTCTCCCTGCTCGCTAGCTTCCTCGACCTCCCGGCCGTGCTCGGTTTGGGGCTGGGAGGCTCCGGGTTTCCCAGCCCCGACTTTGCGGTGGTGCCAGGTTCCGGAGGAGAGCCGGCCTCCGGGGGCGACCCCGCGCCACGCCCCTCTTCCCTACTTTCTTCCGCTCTTTCTCGGGACGAGCCCCGGGTGCGGGTGCGCAGCCCTGGAACCGCTGGGCGCTGCGGTCCGGCGGGAGGTAGCGGCTCGCAGACGGAGATCCAGAGCTCACACCCCGCGAGGCGCCCCCGAGCAGGGGGTGACCCGGAGACCGTATTCACAGGTAATAGGTGTATGGGGAAGTCACGACTCAGGCATGAATCTTGCGTGATTTTTACAAAAGTACTGTCTGGGCACTTATTTCGTGGATCAGGGTGACTTCCTTTTTAATTTACTTAAAAAAAATTTTTTTAACTAAGGCGTATCAACTAAAGCAAATTTTCAAACGCCGTAGCGAAAGTCTCCCGACACTCACTTGTCCCTTGCCTTACGTTTGAATCTTGTAAACATGACTTAAACCATTCATAACTTTCGGAAAAGAACTCGTGATTCTCGTTAAATCACCGCCCTGGAGTAAAACTTTGGACAACAGGAAATCTAAGAGAAGGAATTGACAAGCCTGTCATCTTGCGGTAACCCCTGTCCGGGTGTGGTTGTATGTATACAAACAAGTGCATAGAGAAGGAAATGGACAAAAATCGGAGAGAAAAAAGGTCCCCTGTCCCCGCGTGTCAGGGCACGTTTAATGGCTGCTCCGAATGGAAACAAGCTGGGAATTTATTAGACCTTGTGGAGTTTGAGAAACTTCACATGATCAGCTTCCTTCCCATCAATTATCCCCCACCCCCGGCTTTGTGGACACTGTTTATATTTCCTGGGGCTGTTGTAGCTTCGTCTGAATAGATTGTCTATAATGAATCTTTTGCATCTTGTCAGAGGCAGGGCCTGTATCTGTGAGTTCTCTACTTTAAAAGCGGAGTTTGCCTGGTTTTTTAAAGTGCTAGTCACTGTAGTGCACTATTGCTGGTGTCTTGCAGCTCTCGGTGTAAATTAGCACAGGATGGCGGCCCTCACCTAGGAGAACCAGGAAGGCAGGCAGCACTCGAGTGACGGGTTGGGTTTTAGTATTGCCAAAACAATCACATCCAAGTAAGGAGCTGTTTCTATTTTCAAGGCAAATTGTATGCATTGTATTATCAAGTCCCCTTTCCAATGAACAAACGTGATTGACATACCACAATTTTTCAAATTAATCAAACGTTTTATAAAGACTTCAGTGATAAAAGGACTTTCGAATCAAAGGGACTTCAGTCCCTTTGAGTTCCCTAACAGTTAACTAGCCCCATAAAATCTTGGTGTAGGTCCAGAAATGCTAAACAGTGTAAGAACTGCAACTTTACACTTTGCAGTCATATTTTTACTGTATTTAATCCAAATATTTCCCTTGGTATTGAACCCCAACAGCATTTAGATTTGTATAGAAAGACATAAATATGTGAATCTGTGTTTCACAAGAGACTGAAAAGGAATATAAAGATTTTTTTATGCAGGGAGCTCCAGGCACATTTGAAAGACTAGCTCTCGAACAATGAGGTTTGTGGGCTGGTGTTGTCACTTGTTGAAGGACATAGGTGGTTTGTCAAGTTGTAACAGCTAAGGGCTTCACAGTGAGCACACTTGAGGAAATGGTTAGCTGATACAAGATTAGGTTTTTGTTGTTGTTGTTGAAAAACCTCTCTCTGGGAGAAAAATAAAATTCACATTTAGAATTATGTCATTTATTGTGTTGGGTTTGTAACTGGGTGCCCGTTGGGTTTTTATCTTTATTTTTTTAATTTTACATGTCAGCTTAAGCATACTCTAGGGAGGAAAGTCGTGGGAGTTAAATACAATTTTTCCAAGGCCTGATTTGGAAGAGAAGCAGTTCAACAGTGGTTTGTGTTATGGGTTTTGGTGGCAGAGACAGACCTGGATGGAAATATTATTTACCCTTTTTTAGTCTGATTGGTACAATGAGGATGATGGCAGTCTTTATTTCTGGGGTTTTTATGAAAGTATGTGAAGCAATCTTTGGAAAACACTTTGTAGCTAGCACACAGTTAATGTTCAGAGTTATTAGATATTTTACTTATCTAGCCGAGTCCAGCAGCAGGCTATTGGGTAAGTTACAAGATGGCAGCGTGAATGTCCGGGAAGCCCTGGATATTGCAATTTTAAATTCCAAAGAATGTGCCTGATTTTATAGAGAGAGATATGTAAAATATTTGCTTATATATGTGTGTCATGTTTCTACCACAGTGATACGAATAATTATGATTAATGTATTAATAGTTTTAACATGCTTTTACTGTTCAGGTTACAGATGTGTGATGTTTTTAGAACTAAGCAGTCAGAAACATTCTTTAATCATATTTAAATGTAAAGATAATTTATATTGCAAATAGTCCGGTTTATTAGCCCTGGGTAGGAAATTAAACAAGGAACGGAAGTATTTGTCTTTCACCAAGTATGACTTTTAATTAACGTAGGAAGAAACATGACCCAAGGGGATCCAGTTATTTACTTTTTCGTGTACTGATGTCCAGTGCCAACAGATAAGCCATAAGTAGTGTTAAAGGCTGGTTGGGAGTGTTTCATAAATATTTTATAGAACATTATGATTGATTACATAAACTTTTGTGGAAATGCATGTTCAGTTAATTCAGGGAATCTATTCATCATATCATTGGATCATTAGCAAAATTTAAAAAGTGCTTCCATCTTTAAAAACAACCCCTTTTCAGTGCCCGTTGCTTTTTTCTTAATGTATGTCGGCTACATAGGATCAAGCTGATGGGAATCAGCCCACACATGACTTCTCATTTTCCTAGTCATTCCACAGGGACACAGAGATGGTGCTCTGTAATATTTTAAAATAACTGTAAAGGGTGTAGTGTTGTTATGAATCATTTCTTGTCTATCACACTATACTCCGAAGCCGAGAGGACTTGACTGAATAAAGTATTGATTTTTTTGACTCCTACAACATTATGGCACAGTGATGTATTCCTGGCTTACACTTCTAGGTGTGTAAAGTATGGGCAAGTTAACATAGTATCTCTGAACTTCAATGAGGGGTTGTGAGGAATATGAGTTAATCTAGCTAAAGCATTTAGATCAGTGCCTGATACATAGTTTATGTTCAGTAACCATTAATATTAAATTATTACTTACTGAAATTTTCTTTTTGAATATTATATAATGTGCATGTATTAGTTTTGTAACAAGAAAACAACTATACAAACTTTCAATATTCCCAAAAATTAAAAAATCTTAGTAAAAAAATCCTGCCAAGCAGTGCTTATGAAGTAAGAGAATATAATTAGGCAATTGTCATTGCATCTTTTAAATATGAAATGGATTGCAGTATTAGTTTTTTTCAGCAAGTTAATTCTCCTAGATCTCAATCTTATTTTCCTTTCTTATTAGAAACTTTTTAAAAAGTCAGTAATCCATGAAATCCATGTTACGCTAGATTAAGTAGGGGAAGGACAGTGTGCATGGTTATAACGCATTGTTATAATTATAGCCAGGTTAAAAAAAGCGTATGCGTAAAAAAGAAAGTCTAGAAGAAAATATAGACAGATGGATGATGGGACTGTGGTGCTCCCCTGCCCCATTTTCCCCCAGTGAGCCATGTGTATATATAATAAAAAATAACCCATTCATGTAAAAGTTACTCAGTAACAATTCTGGCTTATTAGTTACAAATACCAGAATTTTATTGTTGTTTTAGAAAAAACACCAACTCACATAGCAGTTAAATGTCAGAACCTTGGTAGTGAGAATTGTTTAGCAGTAAAAGAGAGGCTCTTTCAGAAGTTTGCAGGTTTATCTCTGTATGTTTGTAATTAGCATCTGCTTACAGACCAAGTCTACCAACCTGGAGTTCTGGAAATTGTCACTTCCCAGATCCAGGCCTTGCACTGATAAGCTACACGCTCATGGCACCTTCAGCGTATCAAATACTTGGGAAGACAGCCACGAGGAAGACATAAGTGCACTTAATTTAACAGGAAAGTTCAATAGATAAAAAATACTTTCAGCAGAATTGTATGACACTATTTATTGAGCTGTTCTATATCCTGGGCCCGGGTCTAAGCCCTTAACATATGTGGTCTTGCTCAGTCTTCTCAGCAGCCCAGATGCGGAAGCTGAGGCTCCCTCTGTGGCCAGACCAGAAGTCCACCCAGAGTTGTTCTGATTGCAGGTCCCATTCACTAAGCACTCTGCTCAGAGCTGAGGTGGAGGTATGTCCAGCCCTTTTTAGGGGTGAGATGACCCACTGAGAATTATTGTTGCCTTTCATTGGTCTCATTCTTCTTCAGCCATAAAAGTGGAAACTTCCGAAATTACCTCAGAGACCCAGCAGGCCTGAAGTGGTCTGCCAAGTCAGCCTCTTGAATCCCTGGACTCCCAAAGTGGGCTTGAGAGTACAGGTGAAGAAACTGGCCTACTAAGTACTCCTATTCTAGAACGAGCTCATACCAACAGGTGTTGTCCTCCACACTTTTCCTTTCTTGGGAATGAAAGGAGAATAGTGAGCAGGTGGCT